TCAAAATGGATGGCAAACTCATCACAGCAAGCTGATAAGCAGTCCAGGACCTCCGCCGGATTTCCCAGTTGAAGAAGATCCCAGACCACCTGAAACAGCTCTGCTGGATGACATTCTGAGGAAGCAATACAGCTGGAGAAATATTGCCATTTCATCAGCCTTATTGCCACGAAATAGGCCCGATAATGGGCTCTAAGTCATGTTCAGTCAGACTCCCAGCAAGATTTCCTCCACCTGCGCTCCAGCCATCTCCCCTCTCGCTTCATTGCCCGCAGTTCTGATGTATACCAAGGAGCTGTCTGGGCTCTGTGTGCAGGTAGATGGCACCATGTCAACCACCCAAGTCATCTCCCTGACCTGAACTTCGACAGGAGCACTGACCATATCAGATGGATAGTCCCCCAGAGCATTCAGGAAACCATCTGGATCCTTTAGTCTCCAAGGGTGGATAATCTTAATAGACCTTTGGTCTAGATGGGGAGGATAAAAATCTAATAAATAAATAAATAAATAAATAAATAAACAAACAAACAAACAAACAAACAAACAAATAAATAAATAAATAAATCCCCCACTCTTGCAGAGGGGAGAAGAAGTTCTCACATGTCAGGCCAATGACACATTGAGACAGCCCCATGGTTGTCATGGTGGCCATGAAGTCCTGAGCCGCCCCAGTCAAGGCAGCCTCGGCATGGATGTTGAGGTCCCCCAGCACTAACAGCCTGGGAGTCCTCAACACCAGGTTCGAGACTACCTCCGTCAGCTCAGGCAGGGAGACTGTTGGTACACAGCAGGGTGAGCGGTACACCAACAGAATCCCCAATCTGTCTCGTAAGGCCAACACACAATACAGGCCCTCAAGACCTCCTCTCAATGGGCTAGGAAGCCTTGTCAAGGAGCTAGAACTCCTATAGACTACAGCAACTCCCCCTCCCCGACCCTCCGAGTGACAATGGTGCTGGACCGAGTACCCAGGCAGACACAGCTGGGAGAGGGGAACACCACCCTCCTCTCCCGCCCCGGTCTCAGTAATGCCCTCATCCAGAATTATGTCATGGATGAGGGCAGTCTTATTTTGTACTGACTTGGCGTTCATCAACAGCACCGTGTGGCTGAAGGGTTTGCTGATATGGTCACCTGATACCATCTGGTTGAGGGTAGGACTAGAAGAGGTGAGTGATTTATTTATTTTGTTTTATTTATTTATTTATTGCATTTATATGCCGCCCATCTAGACATAGTCTACTCTAAGATATCTAACCTCTCTTCTGCTACGTGGCCATGTTCTACCCCCACCGCCATTCCTTCCCCTACCCAGCACCACTTCAATGGCTGCCCCCTCCAACGCCCTCCCCCTTTCTGTTCCCTCAGACCCACTGTAGATCTCTACGTACGTAACCTGATGGCTATTGATAATCACAATAAAAACCCCTTCTAAAGCCCTTTCTAAAGTCCTTTCTCACCCTGAGCCAGGTGGCTGATGTTGAGGAGGGGGTGGGGAAGCCAGAGGCAGCAAGGGCCCAGTCCCACAAGGCCGAAGGAGTCCAAGCCAAACTTCCCCAGGAAGGTTGGCAAGCAGCGGCAGCACAGCCAGACTGTCTCTCACTCAGTGCCTGAGGTACGGCAGAAGCTGAAGACTCCCCCTAAGGCAGGAATGTTGGTCCAGATGCAATATATGACAACCAGCCATGTCATGTACAGATCACCTTCTTCTTCCCTAACAGTTCTTTGTCCATACCTTTGAGGACTTTCTTATCTATTTTTCCAGTTCTCTAAATGGCAGTGAATATGTCCACACACTCTCATCTCCAGATCTTCCCTTTAGGAGCAGGGAGAAGGCAATCCTCCATGAAATGGTTCCCCAAATGGTAAAGCCTTTAAGAACACTGAATTTTAGCCACAGCCAGTCATTGGAGCAAAAGCTATCCATGCCGATGCCGCCAACCGTGTCACATCTATGATCATCGTCTACAGAGCCCACTGTACCTACCATATTTTTAGAGCCCCACATGTCTCATTCCCTCCCACACACTAACTATTGTGACAGATAGCACTGGCAGGCATACGGGGACCCATGAGTAGCTGGTTGTCATTACAAACTCCATGGCTTTCTGAGCACTTCTTCCTATGTGCCTGCAGGCACCTGAAGTTGTTAATGCAGGATCACACATTCCTCATGTGGGGTTGGGAGGGGGGATCCAGCCATAGGCAGTCCATCCGTGGATGTTCAAATATGACTATTTTCTCCATTGAGCTCCATTCCACTGGTGTGGCTTCTCTGGATAGGTGGTCTGCACCAGGTTCTTCTATAGTGCTGTCAAAAAAAATCCAGCATTTGTCTGCTCATCCTGTTGGGATACTCATGCCTAGCCAAGGCACCTACGCCTGTCTTCCATCCTTCTTTGGATCCTGCCTGTAGGGCAATGGTTCCCAACCTTGAGTCCCCATATGTTCTTAAACTAAAACTCCCATAAACCTTCACCACTAGCTGTGCTGTCCAGGATTGCTGGGAGTTGTAGTCCAGTGACATCTGGGGACCCAAGGTTGAGAACCACAGCTCTAGGGTTAGAGCCATGACTGTTGCCTCAATCTCGTCTTCTGAGTAAGAAGAAAGCAGCAGGGGCCATTTTGCTGGTGCTCCTTTTCTTTGCAGGAGTGCTTTTTCTCACTCATTGGCAGCTTGCCCTCTCGTGGCGTTTGCCACTTGAGTAGAGCAGAGGCGAAATTCTACCTGCCTTCTCCTGGCTTCGGATTCCTCTCCACCCCCACAGCCAGTGATAACAAGAGACCCACCCACCCGTCTTCCCCCTCAGTCTGGTGTAGGGACTGATGAAAAGAAAAGGGAAGACCAAGCCCGAGGGAAGGAAAAGCTAATGGGGAAGGCAAGAAGGGGCTCTTCCCCCTCCTAAGCTGCCACGCCAATCCTGTTGCCTCAGGTGGCCCCCAGGGCTGCAGGTTTCTTGATCCTTGAGGCTGGGCTTATTATCCTGCTCACACTACTTATAGGCCTTTGTATGTAGTCTGGCCCCATTCTGCTGCTGAGCACAATGCCATTTCTGCCTCAGCATCAAACGAACAGGAGTGGGGAAGGCAATGCCAGGTTTTTTTTACATCCCATGTGACATGCCCACTACACACTCCCTCATCATCAGGACACCCTCGGTTCCTGAGGCTTCCTCCTTCTGGGCTGCATTCTGAGGGTGGATGGGGCAGAGTGATCACATGACACTGGAAGGGAGCCAAATAATGTTTGCATCAATTTAAATCCGATTGTTAAGTGTCACCAAGTCGTTCCCCATTGACGGTGACCCTAATAGGGTTTCAGAGGCCTGTCAGCTATTCAATGAGTGGCTTAATATTACTATGCCCAATGAATTCGAACCCAGCTCCTCCATGGCTCAGTTTGGCAGTATCCACGGCACCAGGATGGCTCCCAGGTCTATCAGATCAGTTAAAAATCGAACAGCCAGATAGTTCATCAATTGAACTAGCCCATTTTATTACCCTCTAAAAATAATGTTGCATGGATTCATTTGCCCAGGATGGGATCCAAGGGGTAATTAAATTTGCACCTCGCTCTTCTTTTAACATGTCAAAATGGCAGCAGCACTAGCTGTTTCGGTTAACATTCAATCCAATTGCCATTTAAGAACAAGAGAGTAATTCTTTAATCAGTTGGCAGCTTATCTTAGCCAGCGCTAAACACACGGACAGGCGCGCGCACACGCCGGCTTTCATTCACTCATCATCATCATCCAGGATCTTATCCAAGCGCTCAAACTGTGAATCAGACGCATAGATTCTCTGCTCGGGAGGAGAAGGAGAACTCGGCTGGAAGGCTATGTTTTCTGCTGCTTTTTTTCTCCCCAAGAGTGGAGGGGAGAAACTGAGGCATCTGGTCCTCCTGATGCCCTGAAGGCTGATCTTTGGCCATTCCGCAACCGGTCCAGGATCCCACCCACCCCGTCGGCAAGTGGATGGGGCCGGCGTCCGAGAAGTAGCAGCCAGTTTGGCCGCGAGCGTTCCGAACGCTCTCTGAACTTTTGCCGGCCAGTCCTACCCGGGCGCGGCGAGGGGGGCGCTTGGAGGATCTCGCCACG